GCTCAGCACCACACCTGGGGCCATGCGGATATACAACTTGAGGTGCCAGGTGAAAGTCCAGCTGGGACACAAGCGCAGGTGGAGGCCTTTCCACCCTCCAGGGGCATCTCCCCCCAGCGAGCGGGGCTGACAGGCCTGGGCTCTATCTGGGACAGGATAGTTTGATACTAACAGGCATGGCTCTGGGCTTCTTCCCGCTCCTATCTCTGGGCGATGCGGGAGGACCCGTTTTTCCAGGGATGTAGTGTCTGGAAATAACCACAGACTCCTACAAGCAATGACAGTGCTGTCCAGGGGTCAGAGCCTGAGGTGTCTGCCCAGCATTTACTCAAGCACTTTCTATGGGAGGACATCAGCCAGCCTGTGAATACTGGGGCTGAAATAAAACCTGTAGTGGCAGGTTATTCCATCGCATGCAGGGTTCTTACACCTTCCTCTGAAGCATCTGGTGCCAGCCATTGTCAGAGCAGGATAATGGACTATGGGTCTGAGCCAATCTGACAATTCCTATGTTCCTAAGGCTTTAAAGGCATCGCCCTATGCATGGAGCTGATAAATTCACGGGGAATCCATTTCTGACTATGTACAATTCCCCACACATGATTGAGCAACAATTAAGAAAGGAAAATATTTACAGTAGAACATTCTGACCCCTCTTCATTTATTCTCTTTCCCAGGCTTGTATGAGTCCATCGAAACATGCTAGAACCGCTCAGGGTCCAGTGGTGGCAAAGGAGCTTCCGGGTCATAGCATCATAGAGTTCAAAGCCAGAAGAGACCACCAGTCTACCCCTGAGGGGTGGTGTTTCCCTGGCTGCTTCTTTGTGGCTTGTGGGGAGCAGCGATGAATTCCTCCTTCCCTTTCCCAGAGAGCCACCTCCGCCTGCAGGAGCTTTTGAAAGGAGAGAACGTGTCCCTGCCTGGAGTATGGAATGGGAGCCAGGAGCTGAACTGGGAGGAGCTGGAAAAGATGCTCTTCCTGTTTGCAAAGGAGCCTGTCACCATCAGCCTGACCATCCTGTACCTGCTCTCTTTTGTGGTGGGATTTGTTGGGAACATCATGTCCATCAAAGTGCTCACCAGGAAGCGTAGCAGTCGGATGCCCAGTCTGAGTGCCACCAGGAGCCTCCTTATCAACCTGGCCATCTGCGACTTGATGGTGGTGTGCGTCTGCATGCCCATCACGGTGGGGAACTTGATATACAAAGCCTGGGTGTACGGGGACTTCCTGTGCAGGGCTGTGCCATTCATCCAGGCCGTGTCTGTCTCAGCCAGTGTGCTCAGCCTCACGGTCATTAGTGTGAACAGGTATTACAGTGTTCACAACCCTCTGAATGCCAGGTCCTTCTTCACCCAGAGGAAGATCCTCAGCGCCATCCTGGTGGTGTGGGTCCTGTCCTCTGGGATCTGCATGCCCCTTATATTCATGAACAAAAGGGATGAGATTGGGGCAGTGGAGGGACTGCCATTGGTGTTCCCAATCTGCAGGGAAATATGGCCTCAAGAGAAGCTCAAGCAAGCCTACAACTTCCTGCTCTTCTGTGCCCTCTACTGCCTGCCCGTGCTATTCAATATGGTCATCTGCTTCCTGACCGTGCGAAGGCTGTGGAGCTGCACCAGCCAGTTGAAGGAGTGCAACTCACTGAACCGATCCCTGCCAGCCTCCAGGCTGAAGATCCGCAAGAAGGTGGCCCAGATGGTGGTGGCCCTGGTCCTGCTGTTTGCCATCTCCTGGCTGCCCTTCTACATGATGGACATCTGGATTGACTTCAACATCCCCAACTCTTTGCAGGATGTGACTCCATCTCCCTGGGTCCTGCAGCTCAGACCTTTTGCTCAGTGGCTAGGCCTCACCAACTCCAGCCTCAACCCCATATGCTATTGCTTTGTTGGGAACCTCTACAGGTCAGCCAAAGAAATGAAGAGCAAATACCACCAGAGGATGGTTTCCCTTTTTAACTTCTCTCTGTCTGAAGGGACTGCACTTTCTTCTGTGCCTGAGTTGCTCTCTTACAGGAACTCCATGGACTCTGCAAGGAAAGAGTCCAGCTGCACCCTAGCAATGGGCAAGAGGTGTCAGGGGGACTCTGACCCTAAGAACAACTGTGAAACTTCACTAATGTCCTGCCAGCCTCTGTCTCTAAACACCAGGTCTAGTGAAAAGACTTCTCTCTAATCTTGTTCAGGAAGAACACCTATTAATACATTCATCCTTACTAAGAGGTGTATCAGACCCAGCTGATGGCCATGTAGTAGGTTTTTCTGAGTCTGATATTCTAAAGAGGGAGAAGAAACCTAGCATGCCTTCTCCCCACCTCCCTCGCCCCCAAATAAAGACAGAGGAAGGAAAGAGAGATAAAGAGAAAAAAATGCGGAGAAAAAGATTACTTCTATTTTAACTGAGATGAACTTACCAAAATGGACAAATCATCTCTATCAGAGACACCTGGACACAAGAAATGCACAATCCTCTCGCGCGTTAAAAGCTTTCACACTAAATAGATAAACTTCCAATCAGCTGTTCTCCTCCTGCAGCTCCATCTCTGCAGAGATGCAGGTTTGATACATTAGCAATTGTACTTTGACCGCTTGCTGCTGCTTATCCTGAGCTGATAAAGTCCAAATGGAACAAGCTTTCCTGGCTGAAAATCACATCAATCGTAGTTGCAAGCAGTAAAGAAACTCTAGAAACCATATAACATAAATAGTATTAGCAGAGAATTTCACACGCTGTGCCACTTGAGATGTCATTGTCTGATCTGCAACACACCAAGCTGCCATACAAACAAATGTTACTGAAGTGAGTTGTCTGTGACATAACCATTACAGTTCTATATTTGGAAATTCAGAAGCGATAATGTGGCCCCAGAGCCCCTCTGAGAAGTGCAGTAGGAAAATGGGCTCTTTTGGATTGGGAACATTTTCCTTTTGGTGGTTTGGATATAACTGGATTTCTGTTAACACATTTTACACTCAGAAAGTCAGCTCGCCCACCGCTCTACCTGTACAAAGCAAAGACGATGGCATGTGAAAATAAAAGTAAAAGGTGTTTTATAACAATAAAATCAGAACCAAACCGTAATCTGTAGTCCTGGTATATTTCTCTGGGGAGGAGAGATTCAAAGTGCTTTTCTTTTCCTAAAGAGGAAATGCAGGTTAAACTGTGTGCTATTAGCACTTCTAAAGGAGTCTTTGCTAAGTAAAATAGTAATGATTGTTTATTTGTACTATAGTAGTGCCTAGAGCAGAGGTGGGCAAACTATGGCCCGCAGGCCACATCCAGCCCGCGGGACCGTCCTGCCCGGCCCCTGAGCTCCTGGCCGGGGAGGCTAGCCCCCGGCCCCTCCCCTGATGTCCTCCCTCCCCCGCAGCCTCAACTCGCTCCGCCGCTGGCACAATGCTCTGGGCGACAGGGCTGTGAGCTCCTGGGGCAGGCAGCTACAGAGCCCGGCCTGACTCGGTGCTCTGTGCTGCACGGTGGCAGTGGCGGCGTGGCCTGGCTCCAGCTGGGTGGCGTGGCTGTAGCGCCGCCAGCCACCGGTGCTCCAGGCAGCGAGGTAAGGGGGCAGGGAGCAGAGGGGAGTTGGATAGAGGGCAGGGGAGTTCGGGGTGGTGGTCAGAGGATGGGGGTGTGGATAGGGGTTGGGGTGGTCGGGGGAAACAGGGGGTTGAATGGGGGCAGGATTCTGGGAGGGCAGTCAGGAAGGAGTAGGGGTTGGATGGGGTGGCACGGGGCAGTCAGGGGCAGGGGTTCTGGGGGCAGTCAGGGGACAGGGAGAAGGGGTGGTTGGATGGGGCAGGGGTCCCAGAGGGGCCATCAGGGAACAGGGGGGGTTGGATGGGGCAGGAGTCCTGGGGGGGGGGCAGATAGGAGGTGGGGGCCTCCCCTAACCGGCCCTCCATACAATTTACAAAACCCAATGCGGCCCTCAGGCCAAAAAGTTTACCCACCCCTGGCCTAGAGGCCCAGGCCCAAACTGTGATTTCATTGTGCTATGCAGGGGTTCTCAAACTTCATTGCACCATGACCCCCTTCTGCCAACAAAAATTGCTACACAACCCCAGGAGGGGGGAGTGAAGACTGAGTCTACCCGAGCCCCACTGCCCCAGACAGGGGAGGGTCAAATCCCCAGGGCTTCAGTCCCAGGCGGGGGGCCTAGAACCTGAGCTCTGCCACCCAGGGCAGAAGCCCTTGGTCTTCGCCTTTGAACCCGGGCGGTGGGGCTCGGTCTTCAGCTTTGGCCCTGGACCACAGCAAGTCTAACGCCAGGCTTGATGACCCCATTAAAACGGGGTCACAACCCATGCATCCGAAGAAGTGAGGTTTTTACCCACGAAAGCTTATGCCCAAATAAATCTGTTAGTCTTTAAGGTGCCACCAGACTCCTTGTTGTTTTTGTAGATACAGACTGACACGGCTACCCCCTGATACTTGCCAGCTTTTCTGCCGCCCTAGGCGGCGGAAGGTCCCGCCCCGAAATGCCGCCCCCGACAGAGGCAGCGGAAGGTTCTGCCGCCGAAATACTGCCGCGGTCGCCGCCCCCAAATTGTAGTGCCCTAGGCGACTGCCTAGGTCGCCTAATGGGTTGCGCCGGCCCTGTGTCTGCACTAGGGTGGCCAGACAGCAAGTATGAAAAATCGGGACGGGGGTGGGGGGTAATAGGAGCTTATACAAGAAAAAGACCCAAAAATTGGGGCTGTTCCTATAAAATCGGGACATCTGGTCACCCTAGACTCTGCACAGTGCCTACCACAATGGGGCCCCAAATCTGGCTGAGGCCTCCTGGTGCTACCATAATGCTTTGTTCTCTGCTTACTCACTCAGCAGCGCTTGGGAGAGTCGGAGTGTTGTGTCAGTGAGCAGCAAAACGAAGGAAGCAGCCTTTGTGGCAAAGGATTTCACATACTGTGAAACCTAAACTTTGGAAGACTAGAAGCCATCTTATTAGAGAGCAGGGGACTCAGTGTTCTGGGGGAACATACGATTCAAGTAACATCCCACTGCCTCCCAGGGAGCCTTTTGCTTTGAGAGTTCAGAGAAAGCCAGACCGAAATAGCCATCTGTCCCAGCAGGATTTCCACCTTTTTAATGATCATTAAATAACATTTCATGTTACTAATGATATGCCTGGAAAACAAAGGATTGTCTCCTAACAGACAGTTGCATCCAGAGTCTGTTTTCCCTTCTTTGTGTTAAACGGGCACAAAATCACAATTAAGCATTTTTACAGCGAGTGATAAATGTCTCCTGACCGCTGTGCTCAGTGTGAAAATGCCATTTGCATTTCTGCAGGTGATAACTCATGGGACATGGACAGCGCCTGTTGCCGGGTACATAAAAAGCTGGCCTTTAAATACCCTTTAGGGGAACATTTGCAATGATTTTATTTTTTCTTTCAAAGCATATGTTAGTGTTGGTGAAAGATGTCAGGCTGAGGAGCAGTAGGGGCCTAATCCAAAACCCATTGACGTCAGTGGGCTTTGGATCAGGCCCTATAAATTGAAATCCTCTACCCACAGACCAGGTGCAGCACAGCATTGCAAAACTTCCCTTATGTTGCCTTGATAAATGTACTCAATCTTGTTCTGAAGGATCTGTGTCTAGGGAAATGAGGGGAATATAGGAGTTGCCATATCAGATCCATCTGGTCCAGTATCCATCTTTGAGAATGGCCAGTAGTGGATGATGCAGACAATGGTACAAGGACTCCGCAGTGAACAATTATGGTATAACCTTCCCATGGGAGAAGTTTCTTCCTGACCCCATCATTTATTGGGTTTATTTGTGCCCTGAAGCATGAGGCTTTATGTATCCCTTAACAAATTCTTTAGAATCCTATTGAATGAAACTGTGGGTGTTGTCATTATCGATAAACATTTCTAACCCTTTCATGACTCCTACAAAGCTCTTGGCCTCAGTGATATCTTGTGGCAATGAGTGCCACAGGCCAATCATGCCTGCCTAAAAATATTTCTAACACTTTCAATTTTATTGAACATCCTCTTGTTCCTGTGTAAAAATAGGAGTGTCCAGTTTACCTTCTCTGTACTATTCATTACTTTGTCTCCCTCAAGAGGAGAGGAATAAGGGGGAACATCATCAACTACAGCCTCGGTCTTTCCACAGAGCAATCTCTCCTTGCTTCTTATCATCATTACTGGTACTGGAATCTCCTTCCCGCTCCATACCCATTCACTCCTTGACCTCTCTGCTGAAACTACCCAGAGGCCTATCAATTATCATGGCTTGTTTCTGGGACATGCACACCTGTTTACTACGGAGAACACCAATTTATTTTACTCAGTCTACACAACAACTGCTAAATAGTAATGATTTTCATTCACTATCACCCCAGGGCAGATTTGAATCAGTGATGTAAGAGGGAAAGCCTCTGTGTCCCATGAGACACCCTGTCCCTCAACACGTCTGGGTCATTCAGCCGTGTCTGTGTGACGCACGCTAGCTCGCTGAGGCACAACCGCAGCATTTGAGAAGGTGGCTTTTTTCCTCACTGCTCTCTGATAAGACACAGCTATTTATAGCAGACCAGATCCCCTTGGGGTCCTGCAATATCCTTGTTTCTAATGCCTGACAACCTGACAGGCGTCTAAATGCCATTAATGCTTCAGGCCCGGTGAGGAATACACAAGAGACACATCTTCGTTTACCGAACACAGATGAATTCCCTGCAAGGAGCCAAAGCTAAAGGTCTTGCTCCTGGTGTGTGGATTAGCAAACTTATTTCTCTGTACACATTGGTCAGCGGGGGCTGGATAGTCTGGGAAAGTGCATTTTAAAGATACTGTATCTTTTCCTAGGAAAGCCCCAAGAAGTCCAAAGGAAATGTCATAACTATCTAATAATCATCAGATAGTCCCAGGAGCAAACAGGCCCAGTTTAAAGAGCTCTGGAAGGAAAACGAAGATGCAGCCAACAGTCATCATGGTTTCACAGTCTTTGTTTCTCTTTATCCCCATCCGTCCTTGTTTGCCTCTGCTGAATCCCTCACTCTGGGAGCAGTAGGACAGGATAACGATGACCAGAGGATGGCATTGCTGGGAAGCTGAGTTGGCCTTCCTCGTTCCTAAGGCCAGTGGGCCTTGCTGAGTCCAAACACATGAAGGCTTTGGCCCTGGGCCATAAGAACAGCAGCACAGGATGCATTTTGGCTTCTT